TTGTGGACTCGGTAGTTTAGTGTGGTGACTGGCACAAAGCCACTTTGTAATAAACCAGCACTGCACGCCTTCGGGTCCGCAACACCTGTGCGCTCCAAGGTCACTAACATTTTAAAAATAAAAGAGGTGAATATGACAGGTCAACAAGAGGACAACAAACGACAAACTTAAAATTAATACAAAACCGGATTAAAGGAACATGAACAAACACTGAATCAAGTAATGAAGGGAGAATTAAGTAAACTGAGGAATACTGATGAGCAGCTAGAAGATAATATAACTGTGACTAAATGTTAAAAGTAGAGTCCATGTAAGTTAAGTTGGCATGTAAGTCCAGAGTACGAAAATTCAGGTCACATGTCCGGCGAAAGTGTTGAAAAGTTGCTGGTTAAATCCAATGGTGAACCTTCTGTAGTATTTTAAGTGTACGTAGTAGATTATTTGAAATCTGGATGATATGGCCAAGGAGAAGAAAGTCCAATTTAAATGTTCGTTGCTGGCGTTGCGTAGTTGCTTGTTAAGTCTAATGGTGAAACTTCCGTAATATTTTAACCGAAGTGCACAGAGTAGGTTGTTTGGATGATATGCATGCAGCAATTTCTTAAGTCCAAGGTTGTTGCAAGTAGGTCCATTAACGCCAATCAACCAAGTGAGTTAGGTTGATATAGAAATGCCAGAAGTAGGGATCATTGTGTAGCCGGAATTTCTGCGCTATTGTAAGCAGGTCCATTAACGCCGATCAACCAGGTGAATTAGGTTGAGATAAAGATGCTGGAAGTAGGGACCATGGTATAGCCGGAAGTTCAGGGCTGTTGTAAGCAGGTCCACTAACGCAGATCAACCAGGTAAGTTAGTTTGTAGTAATAAGGATCGGAAGTAATAAAGGCCAGGAATGCCGGAAGTAAGAGTCTGTGGTAGCCGGGAGTAATAAAGGCATATAATATTCTGCTACCACTTGTTTTCGATTACAAAAATCTGTGCAAATAGTGGATCCCAGAGCTTTGATATTTTCTCACTTCTGATTGGTCAGTTAATATTATCATGTTCTCAACTACGTCCGAATTGTATCGACCTACAGTATTTACATAGTCCAACTAATGTAAATACTGTACATAATACCTCATCTCAGAAATATAGACAGACTCTGTATCGACCTAGTTTCTGAGCCGAACGAAAATACAATTCCGCCAAAACTCTGTCTATTTATTTTGAGCCGATCATTTTTTTTTAAGCATTTCATCCCAAGCAAGGCAGGAAGCCACTAGCAGGCTAGGGGTTACAGAGGATTTGGAGCGAGAGCAGACAGGGGTGATAGAGGAAAGGATTAGGAGAAGGATAGTGGATAGATCAAGGCAACTGGAGATATCGATTGACATTACATTTGAACAGTTGGAGATTATAGCTATCAGGGAAACAGAAATAGGGAAGGGAGTTCCACAGGCAAGGGGTGCGAGATATGAAGCTATTGGCGTAGAAGAGATGGCTACATTTAACAGTTTCAACAGTGAAAGGGTGAAAGCGGGATGCCAGCCTCGTAGGACACTTGAATTCATGAAGTCTGGGAACCAGCGAAAACAGCTCATTGGAGCAATTACCATGAAAGTATTTGTAAAAAAGACAGAGAGAGGCGACTGCAGACGAGATGCCAGATCAGGGCCAATTACATTGCATATCCGTCTTTGGATCTTATCAAGAACCCCGAGGCAAACAGAAGCGGCTCCAGACCATATATGGCAGCAATACTCCATGCAAGGGCGAATGGTTGATGTGTAGATTTGAAGGATCGATTCCGGGAAGAAAAGTATTATAAATGCAACGCCATATTTTCAACTCTTTCTCTTTTTCCTGTTTTTCTCAGAACCACAACTATGTCGTTCAGTGAAGAGTTTTACGTCTGTCCCTAATGGGCAGACTCTATGACACACGCACACAAGTACGTACGAACATTGAACATCTCTGAACTCATCTCATTCTTCAACTACAAGCAACAGAAACATATTCAACTCTCTTCGGTGAACAATTTAAACTGCAAAAAATTCAACATTTCGATATTCAAGTGAAGATTACATTTTCCCTCAATCAACAAATTTCTTTGAATTCCTCTTACACCAGAATTTCAGTCTGCAACACCTCCTTATCAAAGAACATTCTTTTCATTGAAACTTATTAATTCATGACCTGAAATCTTACTTATTATAAAACGCAGATTGTGTGTGTGTGTGTGTGTGTGTCTGTAACGTTTATATGTTGGATCGAATTTCCTACATTTTTTAGCCGATTTCAACAAAATTTCACAGGACTACATAAAATTACCTTTTGGTGGTTCTAACGGGGCCGAAAATGGGAAAAACACAGTTGTTTTTTTAATAAAATCATTTTGAAAATACGTTTAAGACACATCGTGAGAATGAAAGGGGGACAACTCACCCACGAAAATGTAAACAAAAAGCATAGCATGATGAAAAAGACGCCGAAATTGACGAAAACAAAATTTTATCGTCTAATGTTCATATTATTATTAAAGAGGAAAGATCAAAGTATTTTGGGGGTATTTTTTTACATTTTTTAATCGTTCCTAGCACGTCTGAAATTTTCGTTAAAAATTTTTGGTCAAAAAAAAGGACAGATAATCATTTTCAATCATTTTTTTCGATTTGATAAAAAAGATTAAAATCTTACTTTGATATTCTTTTAAAAATCAATTATCATTTTTTCAAAACTGATTTTAATAAAAACAGAAATTATACTGTTTATTTAAAATATTTTGAACCAAGCTTAACTTAGCTTCTGCTGAAAAAAAATGTAATTTGAAAATAAAACAAAGCAGATCATAACCTTTCGCGTCGCTTGACGATTGACGAAAGGCACATTCATGACGTTTAGATAACTTACGGGAGGAGAATTCTTTCTACGGATGGAAGGAAGTGAAATTATTTAAGTGCACAAATTATTTACCTTGTTACTTTTAAGGAAAACTTTCAGCGTTCTAATTTTTTATTTTTTTTGTACTTAGCTTTCATTTTTACGTTTACGATGCTTTATGGAAAATATAAAGAAATTAAAAAATAAGACTGTTAATAGTGAGATTAAATTTCATAAGAAAAAGGTATCTAATTAGGTACCTTTCTTATGAAATTTTATCAGAAGTGTACATAAAATACTATAATTTTATGTACATTTATTACATTTTACTGTGTTATTTGTATTTCCATTCATTTTATTATTAATTTTGATATTTCATTTATGGAAAAATATCATAACTGAGATTAATATAAAAATAAGATCATATAAATTAAAGTTTAGCAGTAGTTAAATTTCATAAGATGATACTGTTACTTGTAGGTACCCTTCTCAGTTGAAATTGAAAACTCAAATTAACTTCTCCATACGTGTTTCGCAAAAGTAAAGGGCTTAACAGCGGAGAACAATGCTGAACTCAAATAATGCAACTAAATTGTATTCTGGTTGGTCTTCCGTACTTGATAATTACTGTCCGACTATAAACACAAAAATTACATTTCTTAATTACCATGGCTAATCTGATTGGTCCAAATTATACAATTTTCAAAGCGCTAGACAATGACAATCTCACACGGACATTTTGAAAGGTTGATGTTGCTTTTAACTAATGTTAAAATATTTTTTAAATTCAATTTAAACGATTTTTAAAAATCTTTTTAAAATTAAAGAAATAAGAAATAATTGTATTAAAAATACAATTTTCATTGAAAAAATTTTTTGCTTTCAGAAAATATTGTCCATATTCATAAAAACAAATTAAAACAAATAAAAGCATTTGAAACCAAATAATATATTTGTTTTATTGAGTTTTGTATGTTACAATTCACAGCTGATTTTCAGGTACGTTGGCCAAAAAAAAAACAACAAAAAACAAAAAAAAAAAAACATGATTTGCATTCTTCAAAGCCTTGTGTGCTTTTAACTATTGTAATCACTAAAACCGATGGTCTCGAATTTCTAGATTTTTTTTCATAAAATTAGTTATGGGGTGTTAATAAATATAAAAAATATTTCTGCCATGACTTTAATAAAAAAAAAACATATTTATAATAATTTCGATCATCTGTGAATAGTTTCTGAAAGTTTCATTAACATCTGACAATTATTTTTTATTTTTGCAAGATTTTCCAAATTAATGTGTGTAAATACAAAAAAACGCGCTAAAAAATTATCTGTTATTTACTACCCTTGTTGCGACAAAAAGAGAAACAAGGTTTTTAAATCAAAATTTAGAATATTCTAAAAAGATGGAAAAATTTTAAAAATAATTAAAAAAAATTTAGTCTATCCTCTTCATAAAAAACATAAGCATTTTGACGATAAAATTTTGTTTTCATAAACTTTGGCGTCTTTTTTCATCAGACTATGCTCTATGTTTTTAGCGATTCCGTGGAGTGACTTAGGTTAAAAAACCCAGGTTGTTTATGTGTGTGTGTGTGTGTGTGTGTGTGTGTGTGTTCCTTTATATATGGGATCGGATTTCTTACATTTTCAGCCGATAAAACAAACATCCACTTTTATTTTGGCAGGTAATATTTCTTATTGTCTTGCACACTTTTTTCTTTATTTACATTCAGAATGCTTTAA